GCTACAGTAATCAAGACAGTGTGGTATTGGCAAAAGACCAAACAAATATATCAATAGCACAAAATAGAGAGCCCAGAAATAGACCCACATAAATATAGTCAACTGATCTTTGACAAAGGAGCAAAGGCAATACAAGGGAGCAAAGACAGTCTTTTCAACAAATGGTGCTAGAACTACTGGACGGCCACATGTAAAAAAAAAAATGAATCTAGACACAGACTTTACACCCTTCACAAAAATAAACTCAAAATGGATCACAGACCTAAATGTACAATGCAATACTATAAAACTCCTATAAGATAATATAGGAGAAAACCTAGATGACCTTGTAATGACATTTTAGATACAACACCAAAGACATGATCCATGAAAGAAATAATTGATAAGCTATACTTCATTAAAATTAAAAACTTCTGCTCTGCAAAGGACAATATCAGGAAATAAGAAGACAAGCCACAGACTGAGAAAAAATATTTGCAAAACACATATCTGCTAAAAGGCTATTATCCAAAACGTACAAAGAACTCTTAAAACTCAACAATAAGAAAACAAACAACCCAATTAAAAAACGTGCCAAAGACCTTAATAGATACCTCACCAAAGAAGATATACAGATGGCAAATAAGTATATGAAAAGATGCTCCACATCATCTGTCATCAGGGAAACGCAAATTAAAACAATGAGAATCGCCTATTAGAATGGCCAAAATCTGGAACACTGACACCAAATGTTGACAAGGGTGTGGAGCAACAGAAACTCTCATTCATTGCTGGTGGGGATGCAAAATGGTACAGTCACTTTGCAAGACAATTTGGTGGTTTCATACAAAACTAAACATAATCTTACCATATGATCCTGCAATTGCGCTCCTTGGTATTTACCTGAAAAAGTTGAAAACTTATGTCCACAAAAAAACCTTCACCTGGATGTTTATAGCAGCTTTATTCATAATTGCCAAAACTTGGAAAGCAACTAAGGTGTCCTTTAGTAGGTATAAACTGTGGTACATCCAGATGATGGAATATTATTCATCACTAAAAAGAAATGGGCTATTAAGCCATGAAAAGACATGGAAGAACCTTAAATGCACATCACTAAGTGAAAGAAGTCACTCTGAAAAAGCTATATACTGTATACTTCCAACTATGTAACAGTCTGGAAAAGGCAAAACCATAGAGACAGTAAAAAGTTCAGTGGTTGCCAGGGTTTGGGGACTTTTAGGGCAGTGAAAATAGTCGGATACCATAATGATAGATACATGTCATTATATATTTGTCCAAACCCATAGAATATATAACACCAAAAGTGAACCCCAAGGAAAACTATAGACTATGGGTGATAATGATATGTCGACGCAGGTTCATCAATTGTAAAAAAAGTTCCACTCCAGTGGGGGATGCTGATATTGGCGGAGGCTATGGAAGTGTGGGGAAGAGGGGAAATGGGAAATCTCTGCACCTTCCCCTCAATTTTCCTATGAACCTAAAAACTGCTCTGCAAAAAGAGTCTTAGAAAAAAAAGAGCTCTTCAAAAGAGAAATGGGTGGGTCTCATATCACCCTCCCTATTCAAAATTCTTCAGTGGCTCCCCAGCGCTCTGAGAATAACCACATGCCTGTCTGTGGTTATTCCCCCATCACATCTCTACCCCTCTCCACTTGTCCTCCAAGCTCTAGCTCCACTGACCCACTCCTCCCTCCTCAAGCTTCATAACTAATATTCTCTCTATTCCAAACAATCTTTCATCTCACTCCATATATCTGGCTTCTTCTCCCCCTAGGGTCTCAGCTTCAATATTACCACCACAGAAAGGCCTTCCCTGACCAGATCACTTACAGCATCCATCAGTCCTCTCCTCCCTCCACCATATCACCTTCATAATTCCCATCACAACCTTTAATTATTTTATTTGCTAAACAGTTTAATGATCATCTCTCATGAGAATGTAAGCAACACAAATTCTCTCTTGCTCACCAGTGTAAACCCTAGTACCTAACAGTACTTTTGACACAGAGTAGATATTCAATAAAGATTTACTGAAAGAATAAATAAAATGTTAACTTCAGGTCTCATTGAAAAAGAATATTCTCAATCCAGCCTTTAAAATCAATAACGCTTCCTTTAATTCTGTTAAAAATACAAACCACCACTCCGCAACAGTCTTCTTTAAGTCAGGATGCTTCCCTCCCCCATTAGTACCACAACCCCATACATCTGGAAGGTGGCAGCTGACCTTCATGCTGATTGATGGCACCGAAACGCCTAACGGGTAGTTTTTCAAAACTGGACTAATAACATAGAGTCTAAATCATCCACTTAGAGTGCTGTGGCAACTTAAGATCATCATACTGCTGACAACTCTAATGGTTTAAGGATTCTCTCTAAAATCTCTAGGAAGTGACAATTAGTAACCCTGTTGTACAATCTATTTCTAAAGTCTGGCTACAATATCTATCATTCTTGTTAAGTGTTAAAATCTTATGACTAAACATAATGAGACTGAGACAGTCATTTATCTTCCAGATGAAATTTTGTCACTTCCCTGGATGCCACGCCTGCCAGCTAGCCAGTGCACAAAGGCTCAAATCAGATGAAAGCATGGAAGTTGAACATTTCAACAAACTGGTCTGTGTCTAGCTTCATCTCAGGCCACTGTTCCCTCCCCACCCTCTACGATGCAGCCACAGTGAGCTTTCCACCACAGTCCCTGAACACACCATGACCTGTATGTCTCTGCGATGCCCCCTTCCTCCCTTCTGCATTCCCTCATACACATCTTGTAAGACCTAGTTCTTCACTAGGAAGCCTTCACAGACTCCCTCTGACACTTAGTTGGTCTTTCTCTGCTTTAACAGAATGCTCTGAAGGCAGTTATCACACAGCACCATCATTATTCATTTTCTATCTCCTTCAATGGATTCTTTCCAGTCTTTGCCTACGTCCTTCTAGCCTATATACCTTGTGGTGCTTCAAAAGACCAATCGAGAGTGTGGTACAATCAACGGCTGACATATATTTGTTGAATTAATCTCTCTCAAAACACTGTGCCAAGATTCTCAAAGTATACTAGCTCAAAATATAAGACCACTCTACCTCAGTTACATCCATCATTACGCAAAAATTCACTGGTCTCGTGTCCAGGTCCAAAGAATACATTCATTTAAAATTGAACACACACTTTGAACAATAGCTAACTTCTACCTCAGCAGTTCACAGAACCACCACCTACTCCCTCCTGATTCTACCAAGCTCCTTGTACTCCACTATATCTAGAAATCTCTCCATGCTTGACACCAAAGCTTGTTTTCATTATGTGTGTAACTGTTTCCTGATCCGTTCTTCACTTTTCCAAGTCAACCAACTGCTCTGCCTGATGCCTGTTTCCTTCCTTTTTCCCCACTAAGTTCCAGTAGCCATTTTGTCCAACTACACAGACACTAGTATGAAATGAGACCTTCCTCAGACTTGAAGTCTAACTTCTCTAAGAGAACACAAAACAAATCCAGTAGGAGCCAATCTTCTATTGAAAAAGACAATGTGGCTACAAAATAACTTAAACCTAACAAAAGCTACTTACTAGTCACTCCTTCAGAGGAGGACAATCCCTATCCCATCCTCCCCATCACTAGTCTTACGGTCAGTCCTGAAAACTCAGGTGGAGCATCCCCTATACCTGCACTGCTGGTTCTCCAGTTAAAAAGCTCCCTGAGGGCAGGGACTGGGTCTGTCTGGCCCACCACAGCATCCCTAGAGCCTGGTAAGTCGCCCGGCATACAATGAACTGCAAATAACTGTCTGCTGAATTAATGAACACGGGATGGAAGTCAGGTTATCCAAAAAAAGCAAGGTCACAGGCTTATCAAGGTGCATTGCAGCTGAGTGTGAGAAAATACAAAAAGCCTTGCAGCTTAGGAGACCAGGAGTCACTGGTGACCAGAAGGGGCCACAATGGCTTTATTCCCAGATTCTGCCCACTCTGGGATCTGGGTTAGGGGATTTCTCAGAACTCCTTTCCTTAAAGTTTTTAAGACCAGGAGGAAGTCAACCCCAAGCGCAACTGATCACTCTAGCACATAAGGCAAGTGTGCGCTCAGGCTGGTGCCCCACATTCTGCCAAGAGATGGAACAGAAGCAACAGAACAGAATAAAATTCCTGAATCTCAGCGAGGAAGTGAGGAAGAACAAACAGCAGGGAAGAGAAATAGAAGCAGAACATGTAGGTAAGACAGTAGAGCCTATCCCTTACGGAAATGTACCGCTTTCCAGGTGCTTAGCACTTTACATGCACTGACCCATTTAATCGTCCCACCAAGACTATTATCATCTCCATTTTACTGATGATGAAACAAGCATAGTGAGATATGACTTGCCCAGAGCACACAGCTAAGAAGGGGCAGCGCTGTGACTCCGGTCTGACTCCAGGGTACCCCCATTCTTTAACCTGCACTAATTATTCTGCCTCCCACGCCTGAAAATAGGACTGAGAGAGGAGTCGTTCATTCATCCATTTAAGGAACACTTATTGAGCACCTACTGAGCACGTGCCAAGGCCTGGTGCGAGGCACTGGTGGGCGGATGAAGGGACGGAGACTGACGGTGTCAAGGGACAGAACGCAACGTCAATCATAAGACTACGGAGCTCGGAACCACCCGACCAGCGGCGGAAGGGATGCAAGGGTGCGGCAGAGGGAGGGAAGGACCCGAATGGGAGGAGCGAGGGGAGCCTGAGGGCCCGAGCATGTTTTCGGCGGGCCAGCGCAGCCCAGAAGGGGTGGGCGACAACCGCTTCCCTCGGCGGACCGTCGGCTTCTGCGCTTCATGTGTGATGGCATTCAGCCTCGGCCACCCCGCGCGGGCGGGCCGGGGGCCGGGAAAGGGGGGCGAAACGGGCGGCTGAGGCGAGGGGAGGGTGGCCCGGGGAAGGCGTGAGCGCCAGCGGGGAGGGGCGCGGGGCCGAGCGGCGGGGGCGGCGAGGCCTCCAGCGGCGTCGCCGGACTCACCTCCCGCAGCAGCCCCTCCGGACTCGTCGGCCCCGCCGGGCCGGCGTAGGCGGGGACGGACTCCGGGCCGCAGGGGCTGCCGGGAGCCCGTTCCCTGGGCAACGGGGCCGGCAGGGACAAGCGACAGCCGGCTCCTCCCGGGGATAGAGCGGCAGAGCCACCAGGGGCGGTGGCGGGGCGGGAAGGAAGTGACGTACACGCTTCCGGCGGGTGTAGGCGGGGCTTCGGGTCTCTTTGCCGGGATACCTGTGGACCGCATGGAAGGTGCGTGAGAAGGGCTAATGTCCCGGGATAGAGAGGATGTGGATGTTACGGCTTGGACTGCGGGGTGGGTCAGAGGCTCGGAGCTTTCACAATGAATGGAGGTCGGTGCCTTGCCCCAGTCCAGCTCGCTGGCCGCGCGCAGGCTCTGCAGTCGGCCTGGGTGTCACTCAGTTCTGCCGATCCTCAGTTTTTTCGCGGGTAGAACGAGATGATATACCCAAAGGAGCGTCAGCAGATCCTGACACTCAAATTGTAATTGTCATTATGAGTTAGTGGAGCACTTTCCCTGAACTCCCCTCAGTCAGAATTACCGACCACAGAGCTTTCTGCTGGTACTAAAAGTTACTCTTCAGCGAGTGCTCACTATGTGCCAAGTAGTGTTCTAAGTACGTGGATCAGCTCGTTTGAGCCTCACAGCGATCCGGTGAAGTAACGTCAACAGATGGGGCGCCAAGGCTCAGAGGGTATAAGAAAAGTAGCCACTATCCTTTACCTTACTCTGCCCTTTCCTGTGACTCTGATTACTGGTCTGTCTGTCCCTACTGGCCTGTGAGTTTCTTGAAGTCAGAACTATGTTTTTGGTTCTTAAGTATATGCTGGGAATAGGGCAGACAGACGAGGAAGCAGATGTGGTCCTTGCCCTCAAGGAGCCCCTAGTGGAGGAGAGAAACCCTTGGAAGATTTTAGTACAGGTGGTAAGAGCTATTTCTCCATTTAACACATTTTATTCAGCACCTCCTATTTTCTGAGTTTATGAGAAGAAACAAGACATAGTCCTTACTCTGGTGGAACTTGCAGTCTGGCAGGGAATATGGACGTTAAACAAGGGAATATGCTACACTGTTGAGTGTCATGATAGCTGAAGTATAGGGTGTTCCAGATATCAAGTGCAGTGAGGCCTAACCCAACCCCGGGGGATATAGGAAGACTTCTTTGTGGAAGTGATTTTCTAAAAACCTAAATCAGATCGTGTCACTTCTTCCTTACTCAAAGCTCATTGCTCACTTTCCATTGACTTGGAATAAATCCAAATTTCTTATGTTCGCTCATAAGGTTCTAGTTGCCTGCCTCCTCACCTACTACTCGCCCTCTCTCCATTTCATTCTAGCCACACTGGCTTTTTCTTTTTTTCAAAATCACTAAGCTCATTCTCACATCAGGGCACATGCTGTTGACTTCTCATCATTCAGGTTTCTGCCTAAATGACCTTCTCAGGGGTTCACTCTATTAAAAAAAAATTCAACTGAGTAAATTGGAAGATCTAATCAGCTTAATTAAATGGACAGCATCTCATCTGGCCAGCAGAGCAATACTCCCAGAGGGTTACACAACATAGAAGGCTTTTATAGTATGGAGGGCGGGACAAGGAAAGGAAGTCATCAGCAAGGAAAAATGAAAAGAGCCAACATTTACTTTGAGGCAAGTAAAAGTTCAGGAGACGTGGGCTTCTCATTGTCTGAGCTGTAGCGTTTTCCATTGGCTGGGCTTGTTGCTCAGCAAGAAGGAAGTCTTCCTCCTGCTGGAGTGTAAAGTAGTTGCACTTCCTGTTTGAGAGTGCCAGGTAAGTCTCTTCCTGTTGGGGTCTGTAACTGACGCTGTAATTGACCTCTTCCTGTTTGGGGTAATTGACCGGGAGTGGTCCCGCGTGAGAGCCCCCTCTATAGGCCTTCCTGACTCCGATTTTAGTTGAGATTTCTTTTTTTTTTAATTAATTTTCACAACTCTAACACAAGATCCCGTTTTATTTTCTACGTGGCACTTATTATGATCTAAACTGATCATGACCATCTAATTGTCTATTATCCACCTCCGCTTTGGGGAGTAAGTTCCATGAAAATGGTCCTGGTTATGTCTGTTCAATCACTTCATCCCACATGCCTGGCATATGGTAGGCACTCAGCTAATATTGGTTAGTTGTATAAGTAAAGAATGAATGAAAAATCAATATCATATTTAAAAGCAGAGCCCTAAAAGATACTAGGAGTTAACTAGGTGAGTGGGGACACACGCTGACAGGAAATATATTCCAGGTCAATGTCAGAACTTGTACAGAGCCAGCGCTGAGGCATAGAGAGCGACTGGGAGAGGCTGGAGAAGTGATGGACAGGATTTAGGTAACAGAAGCTGTGATATTGTGGTTTATAATAAGAAATGAATATTTGGTCTTTGCCTTTTTCCTGGCGCAGAGCTCCTAATACCCTTGGGATTTCCTCAGCAAGAGCGATAAAGGTCTTTTGTTATGTTAATGAGGTGACTTTTGTGTCGCCCCTAGGTAACCTAAGGATGGAGGCTGGTGGTCAAAGGAACCAGTCTTGTGATTAGAGGGTTGGAACTTTCAGTCTCACCCACCCCCACCTCGGGGAAGGGGAGAAGGGCTGGAGGTTGAGTCAATGGCCAATGATTTATTTTTTTATAATTTTATTTATTTATTTTTTCCCCCAAAGCCCCAGTAGATAGTTGTATGCCATAGCTGCACATCCTTCCAGTCGCTGTACGTGGGACGCGGCCTTAGCATGGCTGTAGAAGCCGCGCATCAGTGCGCGCCCGGGATCCGAACCCGAGCCGCCAGCAGCGGAGGGCGCGCACTTAACCACTAAGCCACGGGCCGGCCCTAATGGCCAATGATTTAACCAGTCATGCCTAAGTAATAAAGCCTTCATAAAAACACAAAAGCAAAAAGACAGGGTTCAGAGAGCTTCCAGGTTGGTGAAGATTCCAGGAGAGTGGTGAGCTCAGAGAGGGCATGGAAGCTCCGCACTCTTTCCTCATACCTTGCCCTATGCATCTCTCCATCTGGCTGTTCCTGAGTAATATCCTTTTATAATAAACAGGTACTCTAGTAAGTAAAATGTTTTCCTAAGTTCTGTGAGCTGCTCTAGCAAATTAATCAAACCCAAAGGAGGGGATCTTTGGAACCTCCAATCTATAGCCAGTCAGTCAGAAGCACAGGTGACAACCTAGACTTGGGATTGGCATCTGAAATGTGTGTGTAGAGGGGAGAGGGGCAGTCTTGTGGGACTGAGCTCTTAACCTCTGGGATCTGATGCTATCTCCAGGTAGAAAGTGTCAGAATTCAGTTTATTGCTTGGTGGTGGTGGAAAAAAACACACATTGGAGAGGCCTCTGTGATAACAGATACTATGTTGGATTTGTAGGGGAGAAAGAACTATTCCTCTGCCTTCTCAGTTTTTCGGGGTGGTCTAAGAATTAAAGTGACATGAGACAGAATAACAGGAGAAAATCAAACAAATTCAATAACATGTATACATGGGAGAAACCCAGGAAAACTGAGTAACTCTCCAAAATGGCTGAAGCCACCACCTTCAATACCACCTTCAGCTAAAGACAAAGGAGGATGTTGGGGGTAGTGGTTTGGGACTTAGAAGGGGAGGCAGGCAGTTCACACGGAGATCGAAAAGCAAATGTTTGGTAAACAAATGTTTGCCATGCCTTGCAGAGACAATGAGACATGGGGAGGAGTTTGATTAAACGGGTGTTGCTAAGTTCCTCCTGTCTACCATTAATAGTCATCTACGCTGATAGCTCCTTCCTGGAACAGGCCTTCTATCTTAAATTCTTTTAGGCTGTTAGGGGGAAGGTCGAAGTCCCCCCCCCCCCCCGCCCCAAGTCTTTTGTTTTTAAAAATAAGCCAAAGAGACACATTTTGGGGTAGCAAATTCTGATCCCTCACAGATACTTGCCATGTGCCAAGCCCTCACAGCTTTACATATGTTATCTAATCTTCACGTCAACTCTATGGAGTAGATATATTTTATCCCCATTTTACAGATGAGAACATTGAGGCTCTGAGATGTTAACTAACTTGTCCAAGATCCCACAGCTAGTACTGGTAGAGCTGGGATTCAAACCCAGTCAGTATGGTCTTCAGAGTCTAAACTCCAAACTATACCATACTTGTGTGTCCTGGGTTTCTTAAGGGGCCTCTCACAGAATTTGGACTTTATCTTGTGGGCCATGAGAAAACTATGAAGGTTCTAAGTAGGGAAGGGAGAACCCAAGCAGCCGAGTTGGCTTTTGGTGGTCTGGAGCTTGCATCCCACAGGATCTGGGATCTGGGTGAGTCTTGGAGTACAGGCAGCATTAGCCTGAGGGAGGAAAGAGCTTTCCAGCAGAGAGAACTGCGTGTGCCAAGGCCTGCAGGTGACTCAACTTCTCGAGAGCTGCCAGTAGTTCATTTTAGCTAGAGATTGAGGGGGGTTCAACGTGGGGGTTGAGGTAAGTGTTGAGGTGGAGAGAGAGGGAGCCAGGTTCTGACAGAGTCTGGACTTCCTCCTGCATCCTAAGCAAGGCCGTGGCAGCATGGAGACATCTCTGCATCTCTGGGGTCCTGCCTTCTCAGTGTCTTGGAATGACGAGCACTTGTGAACCACAAAGCTCTGAACAAATGTGGGGTATCAAAATGCCCGAGACTAGATAGTGGGGTACTAAGGCATAGGGGCAATGGAGAGTTTTAGCAGAAAGTGACAACTTTACCTTATTTCCAACCTTTGAAAGTGGTCAGAGTGCTTAAGGTAAAAACTTTGTGGAGCCAGTAAGCTGGGAAAGACTCATCTGATGAGTCTTAAACTATAAAAACAATTGTTTTGTCCAGGAACTTCCACATCCATCTAGACTCCTTAGTTTCCACAACATTTATTTGTCCAGTTGATGTAGTGTGTCAGATAGTTCTGTTGAAAGTTATAAGTACATTTGCTCTCCAACTAAGATCATAAATTTTATAATTATATTTCTTTACTCTCTCAGCAAAGACTCTTGGAGGTGCAACACCCAGAAAACCTGTCTTATCTGTCAGTGCAAGAAAAATTAAGGACAATGCAGCTGATTGGCATAATTTAATCCTGAAATGGGAAACCCTCAATGATGCAGGTTTTGCTACTGCAAATAATATTGCCAACCTGAAAATC